TTTTTTTTTTCTTCTGAAAATGAGTTGTAACTTGTTCCCCACTTTGCCTAAGGAATCCGCAAGAAGGGTCGCTCGGACTTAATGATTATTATTAGATATCGTTACTGCTGGAGAAAGAGGATTCATTCCTTTGGAAGCTTAGTCTTAACACGAAATTTCAACTACCTTTTTTTTTTTTAACTATATCTGGTCCCCTTTAAAGAATTTTTAATTTCCTCTGATTTTTTTCTATCAAAAATATTCATAACACTTTGCAGATCTCACACTTTCGCAATATAAACAAAATTTTAAAAGTCTCTTATCGTCCCATGTTCTCATTTTATCTCAGTTGTGTGAATCAATTTGACAACTCTACTGACTCTAGTTTTTCTAGGAACACTCCCTTACACATCTAATGAGTAAAATTTAATTATGATACTTAGGGATTTTTTTTAATCATGGAAGTATGGAACAAAACGGTAGAATTTGGCCCTTCATAAAGGATGCAATATAGTTCAGTGAGATGGTACTCCCTACAGGATGAAATTTAAAACACAGATGTTCTTAAGGATTAAAATATTCAAGTATTGAGTATCTATAATAATTATTAAACAAATGCTTAAGTAAATTAAGTACTTAAGTAATTAAGTGGTAAGTATATAGGTATTAAAATACACTTATAAGTATTTCTGCATTGAAATAACTGTACACACATTTATACATTAGATGTATATATCTGTTAGGGTATCTTAAAGTGCATTCATATAGATTATCTCATGTGCTCACCACAGTTCTGTAAGACTGGCAGACAGTTCCCTTGTGTGAGAGATGAGACCGTGTGTTTCCAAGGTCAGCAAATGTCTGGTCCAGAGCTAGACCTCAGGTCTGACTCCTAGTCCGGCGTCCTCTGCCACACCACACTGAAATCATGGAGGATGAGATCAAATCACAACAGGTCCTCAGTCTCCCCGTATCCTGGGTTCCTAGAAATTCAGGCTGGAGGTCACTCATACCTTATCTTTGAACTGCAGGCAGGGACCTCACGCTTGTGATTTCAAAGGAAGCAAGCCCCCAGCCCACCTGGGGAGTGAATAAGAAGTGTCAAAAGTTGCAAATTGGCACAATTTATCAATGCTTACAATTAAGCAGAAAGATTTCAGCAAAGGAATTTCAGAAGCTGATAGAACAAACAAACTTGGATAAAATGGAGCAGAAAAAGTGTCACAATTCTTCATGTCTCATAAAACCCTGTAGTACAAATGTTTCCATTCTTTTGCATGCTCGAAAAATATCTGAAATGCCTAGAGTACCATGGAAGTGCAGGGCTGGCTTGTTCAAAGTGAAAATGAGTATAACTAGAATGCTCACGTTTTGTGAGAAAGTAAAACTTCAACTCAACTAGGCACAAAAAGATGCTTGCTTCAAAGTCACCTATAAATAATGAACAATTGAAAATGCCAAGCAATAGTTAAATGGTTAAGTGATTTATAAATCAACACAATAGGCTATTATGTAGCTATTTTTAAAGTATGAAACTTTTACAGTTTGAAAAAATACTGGTATGTTAAGTGAGAAAAGCAAAATTCTAAATAATATGAGCATTCTGGTTGCAAATGAGGAACTAGAGAACAGCAGTCCCCAACCTTTTTGGGACCAGGGACCAGTTTCATGGAAGACAATTTTTCCATGTTGTGGGGGGGATGGTTTCGGGATGATTCAAGCACATTACATTTATTGCGCACTTGGGCAAGTTCCCTCCTCTGTAAAATAGAGATCATAGTAGTGCCTACTTCATTCATTGAACATTTTCTGAGTTGATACTAAGTGCCAGGTGCTAAGGATGTACCATTAAATGAGAAAGACATATGATGGGCACCACTGGTGTGGAACATTCAGCCTCATAGTTAAGACAGAAAAAAGGGAAATAATCATAAAGTTAATAAGTGCTATAAAGGAAACAACTGGTTGGCAAGATAGAAAATGGGAGGACCAGGCATTGACTGGGAAGTTTGGGAAGGTTTTGTTAAGAAGGTTTATTGTGAGCGTTCAAAACTGAGCCAATGTGTGTAAGTCACTAGCACTCTGCCTAGCACGTGCCAAATGATTGATACAGATGAATTCTTTTTTTTTTTTTTTTTGAGACAGAGTCTCCCTCTATTGCCTGGAGTAGAGTGCCGTGGCGTCAGCCTAGCTCACAGCAACCTCAAACTCCTGGGCTCGAGCAATCCTACTGCCTCAGCCTCCCGAGTAGCTGGGACTACAGACATGCACCACCATGCCCGGCTAATTTTTTCTATATAGATTTTTAGTTGTCC